GTGTGTTCTGATACATCCTACTCTGCGGGGGCGGTGATACTGAGATACGGCCTGTGTGCTCTGATACATCCTACTCTGTGGGGGCAGTGATAAATAGCATGTGTGCTCTGATACATCCTACTCTGCGGGGACGGTGATAAATAGCCTGTGTGCTCTGATACATCCTACTCTGCGGGGGCGGTGATAAATAGCCTGTGTGCTCTGATACATCCTACTCTGCGGAGGCGGTGATACGGAGATACAGCCTGTGTGTTCTGATACATCCTACTCTGCGGGGGCGGTGATACGGCCTGTGTGTTCTGATACATCCTACTCTGCGGGGGCGGTGATACGGAGATAGAGCCTGTGTGCTCTGATACATCCTACTCTGCAGGAGCGGTGATACGGAGATACGGTCTGTGTGTTCTGATACATCCTACTCTGCGGGGGCGGTGATACGGAGATACGGCCTGTGTGTTCTGATACATCCTACTCTGCGGGGGCGGTGATACGGAGATACGGTCTGTGTGTTCTGATAAATCCTACTGTGCGGGGGCGGTGATACTGAGATACGGCCTGTGTGCTCTGATACATCCTACTCTGTGGGGGCGGTGATACGGAGATACGGCCTGTGTGTTCTGATACATCCTACTCTGCGGGGGCGGTGATAAATAGCCTGTGTGCGCTGATACATCCTACTCTGCAGGAGCGGTGATACGGAGATACGGCCTGTGTGTTCTGATACATCCTACTCTGTGGGGGCAGTAATAAATAGCATGTGTGCTCTGATACATCCTACTCTGCGGGGACGGTGATAAATAGCCTGTGTGCTCTGATACATCCTACTCTGCGGGGGCGGTGATAAATAGCCTGTGTGCTCTGATACATCCTACTCTGCGGGGGCGGTGATACGGAGATACAGCCTGTGTGTTCTGATACATCCTACTCATGGGCTGCGGATACGGCCTGTGTGTTCTGATACATCCTACTCTGCGGGGCTTGTGATACGGAGATACGGTCTGTGTGTTCTGATAAATCCTACTCTGCGGGGGCGGTGATACGGAGATACGGCCTGTGTGTTCTGATACATCCTACTCTGCGGGGGCGGTGATACGGCGATAGAGCCTGTGTGCTCTGATACATCCTACTCTGCAGGAGCGGTGATACGGAGATACGGTCTGTGTGTTCTGATAAATCCTACTCTGCGGGGGCGGTGATACGGAGATACGGCCTGTGTGCTCTGATACATCCTACTCTGCAGGAGCGGTGATACGGAGATACGGCCTGTGTGCTCTGATACATCCTACTCTGCAGGAGCGGTGATACGGAGATACGGTCTGTGTGTTCTGATAAATCCTACTCTGCGGGGGCGGTGATACGGAGATACGGCCTGTGTGTTCTGATACATCCTACTCTGCGGGGCTTGTGATACGGAGATACGGTCTGTGTGTTCTGATAAATCCTACTCTGCGGGGGCGGTGATACGGAGATACGGCCTGTGTGTTCTGATACATCCTACTCTGCGGGGGCGGTGATACGGAGATACGGTCTGTGTGTTCTGATAAATCCTACTCTGCGGGAGCGGTGATACGGAGATACGGCCTGTGTGTTCTGATACATCCTACTCTGCGGGGGCGGTGATAAATAGCCTGTGTGCGCTGATACATCCTACTCTGCAGGGGCGGTGATACGGAGATACGGCCTGTGTGCTCTGATACATCCTACTCTGCGGGGGCGGTGATACGGAGATACGGCCTGTGTGTT